AACATTTTTAAAAGTCAGTTTCCCAAAGAAACATGTGCCCATCCTGGTTATTTCTACTCTGTTCCATGTTGGTTCATTCCTGCACCAAATATCACATTTAACTAACTATTTTTAACACCTGCTGTGTTTTCCAGCATCTCTACCCCATTCACTCTCTTCTTCCATTACATCATTACAATAACCTCAAGACTCTGGATGACAGGAAGATGCACAAAAAGATAAAGATATTAGCACCAAGTAACAGAAAGATGGTTCATCTAGTCTAGAATTTAGTATGCTGCCTCCTGCCAGCTATTTGATTTGGGGAAACAAAGTTATAAGTTATTTTTATTACAGTTATAACAAAATACCTGAGGCTGAGTACTTTATAAGGAAAAGAGGCTTTGAAAGCTTAAAGTACAAAAATCAAGCAGCCATATCCATTCAGCTCTAGTGAGGGCTTTAACGGCAAGACAGGAAACCAGAAAGATTCAGGAGCCAAGCTCACTTTTTATAAAAATCTGCTCTTATGGAAATTAACCAGTATCCTCAGAGTACTACATTAACCCCTTCAAGAGTCACCCCCAATGACCTAGTAAATTCCCACCGGGTCCCACCATCTCAATGCCACCAGTAGTGGCACTGAAGACTAAGCTCTCATACATGGACTTTGCAAACCACAGCACCTTGGTTCAGGGAAGCACCAGAGACTGACAGACTGGGGAATGATTTATTAGTTCTGGCTACCTAGAAATTGGACACACACACACACACACACACACACACACACACACACACACCAAATAAAAGAGGAGGAAAGATTAGAGCAAGTCCAAAATTACTTGTAGGAGATGTACTTTGGGAGTTTTATCCTGATATTGCTGAAATGAAGCCAGAAAGAAATATAACCTTTGATCTACACGTGTCTTGAAGTGAAGTTCTGGGATCTTCACATCAACCAAAGAGAGTCTCAAGTCAGGAAGTCAGAACCTATAATGATAATGGGCCAGAACTTTCTATGAAAAGAAAATTACGAGTTTGTATTAGTTACTTTTCTGTTGCCTTGATAAAATACCATGACCAAAAGCAACTTAAGGAAAAAGTCTATTCTGTTTTACAGTTCCAGAAAGGTGTCCACAATGGTTAGGCAGGAACGGCAGCCACTACAGGAAGCTGGCTGATCACATTTTGTCTCACAGGAAGCTGAGAGCATGAACTGGAAATAGGGCCAGGCTATAAACCTTCAAAGTCTGCCCCCAGTGACATAATTCTTCTAGCAATGTCACACCTCCTAGAAGTTCCATAACCTCCCCATAAAGCACCACCAACTGGGAACCAAGTGTTCAAATGCATGAACCTTTGAGGGACATTTCCTGTTCAAGCCACAATATCCCACCCTTGACCCCCTTAGACGCATGCCCATTTCATGATACAAAATTCATTTAGTCTAACTTTAAGTCTTTATGGTCTTTACCAGTCTTAACACTGTTTACAAATCCAAAGCCCAAAGCCTCCCTTGAGAGTCAAGGCAATCTCTTAACTGTAGCCTCCTACAAAATAAAAAACAAATTATAAATGTCTAACATAAAATTATACATAATATGCATTCCCATTTCAAAAGGGAAGAATTGGGGCATAGGGAGGAAAAACTGGGCCAAAGCAAGACTTAAACTCAGCAGGGCAAATAACAAATCCAATAGCTCCATGTCCTGTGCCTGGGACTTCAATTTCATAGGCTTAGATGGCTCAGCCCCTCCAGTTTTGCTTCTGGCAACATATCTCTCTCTCTTGGACTGGTTCTGCTCCCTATATGTACCTCCCACTGGCAGATGCCGCTTATAACTCTGGCATCTCCAACATTTTGAGGTCTCCACTGCAACCCAGGATTTACTTTCACAGCGTCACACAATGGTCTCTCAGAGCCTCCTGGCCTCTCATGGCCTTCTTGCAGTGAGTGACTCTAGCACTACCACACATTGCCTGGCCCCAGCAGCTGTCTGAAACCACAGAGAAGAATCCAGAACCCCTTCACTCTTGCATATTTCATGCCTCCAAACCCAATATCACATGGACAACACTGACCAGTTCAACTGCCAGCCTGGGCTGGACCCTTATTTCCTCTGCCCTCTTCTACCTCATTAGCAGCAGCTTTTATATGTTAAAGCAATTACCTTCTAGGACCAAACAACTCTTTAAGCTTTCACCTTTTACAAGTTGGAAGCTTGGTTGGGTGGAGTCTTGCCCTGAGGGTACCCTTCCCATTGTTCCAGTGCAGAGCAGGAGGCCTCTTCTTAATGGTGCTCATCTTAACAATTACAACCTCTCTTTCAGCACATGCCTTGGTTATAACACTAAGCTTCCTAGTGCTCTTTTTCTCTCCAAACTATACATTTTTTATTTCTTTATACCCCACTTGTTCTTTCTTGTTGTAGATTTGCATAAGAATTATATATAACAATTATACCAGAGACCCGATGTTATGCTGTCTTGAAATTTCCTCCACCAAATAAATTTGTCCATTGTTTTTAATTAAGCCTCAGGCAACTTCTTGAGACATAGGCAGAAGGCAGCTAGAGTCTTTGCCAAAATATCACACCCAGTGGCCTCTATTCAGTTGCATATAGAGACCTTGTTCCCCTCTGAAACCTCTTGAGCCAGGCTTCCAGTCTTCATTACTCTCTGCACTACTGTCTTTCAGGCTCCTACTAGGAAGAGCAGTTAAGCTCTGTTTACAGCATTCAACCACTTCTCTATTCCAAAGTTCCAAAGTCTTCCACATTTCTCCAAAAAACCAACATTGTCAGGTTCTTCACAGCAACAGCCCATGCTCTGGTACCAATTTCTGAATTAGCTACTTTTCTGTTGTTATGATAAAACACCATGACCAAAAGCAACTTAAAGAAGAGTTTATTTTGGCTTACAGTTCCACAAGGGAAGCCCATAATGGCCAAGAAGGCTTGCTGCCAGAGCAGGGGGCTGACTAATCAGACTTTGTCACGCAGGAAGCTGAGAAAGTCGACTGGAAATGGGATGGGGCTATACCTTCAGGTCCATCCCTAGTGATATACTTCCTCCAGCAAGGCTATACCTCCCAAAGGATCCATAACCTCCCCCAGAATCACCACCAACTTAGGACCAAGTGTTCAAATACATGTGGCTATGGGGGACATTTCTCATTCAAATCAAAACAGTTTTCATCTGGAAACCGTTATTTATTGCTATTATCTATACCTTATTTTGTCATTTATTTGACTGACTTGGACCCCCTGCATGGGGTAAAAAGACTGATCTTTGCCCCAGGAAGGCAGGCAGATGCTAAGGTAGGAATACAACATGCTCAAATGAACTCGCTGTCTTAGTCCTCCTAAAATCTGCCTTGCCCATTCTCAAGGATGGCAGTGGCACCTGCCCAAGCCATACCCCAGGGCTTCATCAGTTAAAGTAATCAAGTCTTACTTGAACTCCCCATCTCTCTTCTCTCCTCCCCATCCCTCCCCAACCTCTCCACACACCCTGATAGACACCATGAAGGCCTCTATCCTCTGTAGCTATAGCTACAATGACCCATTTCTGATCCATCACTCTGCCTTAAGTTACGGCCTTAGCTCCCCTTCCCATCCCAGAAGCCAAGAGGCAGCCTAGCAAGATCATTCCCTTGCTTAAAACTGTGTAAATTATTTTGCATTATCCTGAGATCATGATCCACACTGTTTGATATGACTTATATAGAGTTTTGCCTACTTTTCTTCAGTGCTGGGAATGGAACCTGGGGCCTTTTGCATTCTAAGCAAGAGCAGTACCACAGTACACCCTCTGTCCTCAGTCCTTTTAACAAGTTTTTGATCCTCTGCTCCTTAGTTAAATGGAGACAATAACAACATCTCCCTCAAGGAGTTGTGGGCAGGGTTGAATGAGTTAACACTTGTAAAGAACTTGGCATAGCACCGGGCACACAGTGACCATTCCAGGTGTCAACTATTGCTTTTATTTCAGTTGCTTCAATTTACTGTGCTTCTCCTGCCTCCAGGTCTCCACATCCCCATTCCCTTTAGGTGGAGCACTCCCAATACCCTGATCATACCAGGGAAATCTTTAGAGGTAGTCAATAGCAACACCAGGAACCTTGTTAGAGAAATTCTCATGCCCAGCCCAGACCTCCTACAACAGAACGACTAGGAGAGGGCCTAGAAATGGCAGCTGTAATTAGCCTTTCTGATGGAGCTAAGATGACTGGTATATACGCTCACTTCCATATGAACATCCTTGGACATTTATCTGCCTCCACCTCCTGCTAGATCACAAGTTCCCAATGACAGAGATGTCCCCATCTAACTGGCTCTGGCCACTAGTAGTTCCTTGTAGGTGGTGGGAAATAGGAGGTTGGAATGGAGTAAGCCAGAGTCTGTAGACCAGATGATTAACTGTGTGCTCCCACATTGTCTGTGTGCCGAAATTAACAGAAGAAGGGAGGGGTAGGACTAGGTGTAAAGTTTAGGGGAGGGGTGCCCTCTGAAGCTAGAAGAAGCAAAGGTAGGTTGGGAATGATTTCTCAAGGGTCCCCACAGTTCCTGGAGCCATAACAGTGACCACAAAATTCTCCAGTACTCTCTCCACAGGGGAATTTCTCAAGTTTGTCATCTTTGAAAGTACTAGAGATAAGTGAAGGAGGAGGAACGTGGACCCAGGAAATGAAAGAAGCTCCAGGGTACAAGAGGTCCAATCTCAGCATGTGGTCAGTCACCCAAACTCTGCCCTTCTAATGGACACTTGGAAGCGAAAAACTTCTCTCTGCCTTCCTCCTGCCTTCCTTCTCTCTCTCTCAACCCCTCCCTCAGCTCTTCCTGTCATTCTTTAGCTCCTTTCCTCCTCTCCTTCCTCTTCCTATCCATTCCTGTTTCCTCGCTCTCCTTTCTCCTCCTCCTCCTCCCCTTCCCCCTCTTCTCCGCTGCTCCTCCTCCTCCCCTCCTCTTCCCCTTCTTCCCTTTCTCCCCTCCTCTCCTCCCCTCCCCTCCCCCATCCTCCTCCTCCTCTTCTTCCCCTTCCTTCCTCTCTCCCTCCCCTCCCTCTCCTCCCCTTTCCTGATCCATCTCTACTTCTTCCCACCCCCCTCTTCCTTTACTATCCCCCTGCCCCCCTCCGATCCTTCTCTTTCCCTCTTTTCCACTTGTCCCCAAATTCCCATCTCTTCCTACCTGTTCCGCACCCTTCCCAGCCCTGTCACCTCTGGTTCCAGCTCCGAGCAAGCAGCAGGGCTCAGGGCATTCCATCACCGAGGGACCAGCCGAACGCTTCGCGCCCTGCCTCCTGGGGCCTAAGGGAGTCGCGGCGCGGGACGCGGGCAAGGCGCCCCAGACCCTCCTCTGCAAAGGAAGCGGGCACAGGCGAAGGGGGCGCGCCGGGTGCACTGCACCACACCGCGCAGCAGCGTTCCACACTGCGCAACCCGGGCCGGGCCATCCGCCGTGCTGCCGCGGTCTCGGCTCCCACGCGTGACCCGAGGGCGTCGGTCCTGCGGACTCAGCCACAGGCTTCCTGCGGACGCACGGGATTCGGTGCGGCGACGATCATGGCGGCGCGTAAGGCGGCGGCGGTGCTGGAGACGCCCCAGCAGCCGGAGCAGGTACCGGCCTGGCAGCAGGCGGCTCTTCCAGGCAAGGGGACAGCGCGGGCTGGTCTCCAAGACCCCGCCCACAGGGGTGTGAGCCAGCCCAGAATGAAGGCAGGGCCTGAGGACCTTGTGGAAGATGCCCCTTCTGTTTCCTCCCTTTCTCCCAACCTTCTTCCTTCCCTAAGATTTCCTTTCCTCATCCTCTCCGTTTCCAGGATATCCCCATTCATTCCCACCCGCCAGGGCGGCGCTTCCTCCTCTCTCCTTAACTGCAACCCCCACGGCCCAGGATGAAGGCTCCAGCACTATAAGAGAGGACAAGGGTTGTACCTCAGGCTTCTGGCTAGGTCTGTGGGTCTCAAGCTAGAGTGTGCATCGGCATCACCAGATGGCTCCTTAAAGGGCATGTTGCCGGGCTCTGCCCCAGGGTTTCAGATTCAGTGCCTGTGGGTTGGGGGCGCTAGTCATTAATTAGCTTGTCTACCCCCAGGGAACTGCTGATGCTCAGGCTTGGAGTACCACTAGGCTTATCCTTTCCTCCCACTGGTGGGTATTGAAAATCCAGTCTTAATTTATATTTGCTCATGGGACAATTCTTAGGCTCTGGCTCGTGCTGGAGCTGTGTGTTCTAGGGTAGATGCAGGAATACATTCAGAGGTGGGCTTTTCTTCAGGAACTTGTATCCTTAAAACAAGAACAAAAGTAACCCATAGAGGGTGGACGACATTAGAGGCAGGGGACTGCTCTTGATGGGGGAGGGGGGTGGAGGGTACATTTGAGCTGGACCTTGGAGAATGAAGATGATTCAGAATTCCAGATGGATGGAATAGGAATACCAAATTGTTGCAGGGTGGGGGGGTTGTTGAGATAGCCGTGGTAAAAAGCAAAAGAGGAGACCATTTTTATGACAACAGATACTCAGTGTTGATAAGGCATATAGTGAAAGATACAGAAAAGAAATGGGAGGGGGTGTTGTGTATCAAACATTGCACATGGGGCTTCCTTCTAAAATGGAGGAATTTACTAGGAAACCCTATTACTGTCTTGATAGTTTCAAACCTGTGTCATCCAAAGGGGACTATGAATCGAGAACTCTGTAGGTCAGGAAGTGCAGAGTATCTTGTGATGTCAACCTGTGCTGCTGATGGGTGCTCTTCCTTAAGACCAGCATCACTGCCTTCCCCATAACCCCAGGAGATACATCCCTCTGTTGACTGTGCCCTCGGAGAGACTCACAGTTTTCCTTTAATTCCTTGTTGCAAATAATGTGCAGGGACCAGTAGCCAAGGTATCACCTTGGAGCCTATCAGAAGGACAAAGTCTCAGTCCCCTCCCCAAATCAGAGTCTGCATTTTTACCAGTCTCCAGGGTGATGTGTGTGCACTTAGTTTCAGGGATACTGGTTTCTGCTAGACAGATTTCACAAGAGCTGGGGATGTGAAGGAAGATTGGTATAGTTACTGACAAGCCTATATATATATAACAGGACTCCATCAATCTAAACCTTACCCTATTTTCTTTTCCTACATCACCTTTATCACCACCTGCAGCAAATTCGTTTGTGCATAAGTTTATCTGAGAACCTCCATCAGCATTAAGTTTCAGGGACGCTGATACCTGGTCATCCTTGCTAGCTGCTGGCTTTTCCATACTCAGAACTGAGTCTAGCAAATAGCAAGTCCTCAATACACATATTTTTTTATATTTCATGTATTTATTTTTATGTGTATGGGTGTTTTTCCTGCATGTGTGTAAGTGTGCCTGTGATTGCAATGCCCATGGAGGTTGGAGGATGGCATCATATCCCCTGGAACTATCATTATGGATGGCTGTTAGCTTCTATATGGCTGCTGGGAACCGAACACGGGCCCTCTGCAAGAGCAGCAAGTGCTCTAAAACACTAAACCATCTCTCCAGCCCCCTCAGTACACATCTATTAAGTAAATAAGTCAGTGACTGAATGGACAGTAACATCAGACATGATCTGAGACCCCAGTTCCCAGCCCTCCTTCCTAGGCAAATGCCAACCACATCTAGAGAGGCCCTTAAACCTTCCAAACATTTGAGACTCCTCAAAGTTGAAGTGCAAGAGCTTTCAAGTTTTAAAGGCAAGAGCCCAAGGCAAAAAGATGGGCGTAATATTGTTTTCCAATAATTCAGACTGGTGCGGGTGGGACAGCAAGTTGTCTTATAAGAAAGAGATTAGATGATGCTCAGTAGAAAAGCACTTACCTAATACGTGCGAGGCCCTGGGTTCCATTCAAAAAAGAAAAAGAACAACAAAAGAAATGAGAAGAAAAGTAGTTCTCATAACAGGAAGGAAGGATAAAGAACGAAGAACAATTCTTGGGAAAAAGAGAATTAGGGATATGATTTGAGTGGTTATCTATAGAACTGAAATGTTCAGCTCTAATGAAAACTGTAGTTCTCATCACGTAACTAAAGGATGAAGCAACTTGGAAAAGTTCTCTTGGAGCTAAGGCATGACTGAAGGCTTATCTCCTTTCTTTTTGCCTAGCATGTTAGGGCAAGCCAATCTGCTTTTGTCTGAGTTCATTGTTTCTATGCCCTGTAACATAAGCTTCTTATCAGTGAATACAGCCTTCCTGCTCACATATGGCCAGGAGACATCAATAGTTTCTGAGTTCATTGTTCTGGCTTGGCCACTTGGAAAGATCTCTCTAGCAGATGGATTTCATGAGGGACAAGTTGAAAGAAGGGACATAGTTTGGAGGCAGCAAATCGGGTGATGAAGGCCAATGCCAGGAAAGCAGCTGTGATAGTATTGTCAACTTGACAGAATCTAGAGCTACTTGGGAGATTTGCCTGTGAGGGATTATCTTCATTAGGATAACTGAGGTGGGAAGACCCATCTTAACAAGGATCCCCTGGGCAAGGGATCCTGGGCTGTATAAAATGGTGGAAGTGATCTGAGAATGCATTCACTGTTCTCTGCTCCTGATGTGATGCGTGTGATGTGTGATATGTGAATGTGTGGTAATGTGATGTGATGATGTGATGTGACCAGCTGCTTTAAGCTCCTGCTGCCTTGACTCCTCTACCCTAGTGAACTGTACCTTGAACTTTGAGCTAAAATAAGCCCTTTCTCCCTGAAGTTGCTTTTGTCTGAGTATTTTATTATAGCGTCAGGGAAAAGGAACATTATAATGAAGAATTTCCTTCCTTGAATATATTGATCAGGTGTATAGTGTGCCAGACATAACTATTATACACAGCTTCTTAGAAGCATGCTTTTCTCTTAATATGCCATGGAGCTCTTTCTATGCCAGTGCTTTTCATGGGATCACTCTTACATTTGAAGTGGGGAAAGAGGGAAAGCAAGGATCCCAGGGAGTTGGGGGTGGGGTTTCCCTCCTCCATCTTTCCTTAGGCCTTTTCCTAGCCATTCCAGCTCAAGTGACAACTTCTCCCCCACTGCTTATTTTCTATGACACATGCTGTGTATTTTCTTCAAAGCACTTGTTCTGACGACTTATTAACATCCATTATTTTCTCTGGAACTTTTTTTTTTAATTAGAAGAAGCATTTCATTACAACAGCATTAACCTATTCAATAACATTTTTCTGAGCTAGGATATATCTCTTTCAAAATTGGCTGTATATTGTTAGGTTTACAGATGAATTATTACTCTTATATAATCTTTAACTCATTATAAACTCTATAAGACATAAAATTAAATGAGTTTTTAACATTTAAAAAAGATCTCCACTTCATTGTTAAAATACACAGTTTCATATAGAAAAATTCATTTTAAGGCAATTGACATTGAGACGTTTTCACATGCATTTCTAATCTCTATATATATGACTATTACTGGTCACAGTCGCTTACTTTCTGAGTTCCTTGGCCTCTGAGCAGGAATATAAACTCGTCAGATAGACAGCCTTCCTCTCCCACTAGAGCCTCCATACTCTG